GAAAGACTGGCTGGCCACTCATCAGGCCTTCCTCCTGGACCAGGCACAGCAAGAGGTCTGCCACAGGAGAACTGGACATTTGTGAGCCCTCGACCGCCCCTATACCATGCCCAGCAGCTCCCCCTCTCAGGCCCTAGTCAGCCCTGATTTCCCACAGAAAAGCCAGAAAGCCATTGGCCGCTCTGTCCTCCCCACCTTCCTTCATGTTCCTTTGCCTGTCCAGCCAATGGGCGTGGGCAGTGCAGTCCCACTGAAAGCATTATATCATCCAGAATGTGGATCCGGACACCTCGAGGCTCCTCAGGACGGCGGAGCGGGAGCCCAAGGCTGGCCGGAGGGGCCGGATAACCAAGTCACTGAACCTGAACCTGAGCCGCCCAGAATGGGGTGGTAATGACTCCCGAGGTCCTGGCCCCCAGAAATCAATCGCCGCACAGGCTGGCTCTCCTGCCACCTGCCTCTCTCCCTCCTCTCCCCTGGCATCCCACCGGCCCCTGCCTGGTGCTGGCCCCCCTGGGGCTTGGCTTCCAGCTAGCCTGCTTTTGACCTGACTGCAAGAGCAGCTTGGGAGCTGCCAGCAGGCCAGGCCGTTTTATTTAGTATCCCAGCAGCGCCCTTGGGAGCTGCCAGTGTGGCTAGGGTGCTTACAGGTAGGCTTTGGGGGTGCCCTTGAGTGCGCCCATCACATGAGCAGTCGGCTTCAGCTGCAGCTACTGCTTCCTGCTTGACTCTACAGCTGTCCAGAAACAAAGCCCCAGGTGGCCAGCAGCGCCCCAGCTGTGGACAGGAAGCCCAAGGACTGTGCCCAGGGCACCGAGAGAGTACAGTGAGTCAGGCAGAGGGCAAATGTATCACTCGAGGACAACTCCTAGGGTACCAGCAGCTCTCAGTGCTGCCCAGCATGGGGATCCTATGCTCCTTTGCCATGCCTGTTCCCAAAGACGTCCTCGGCCAAAAGGCTGTGTCGGGTGTCAGGGATGAGCGTGATTCTGGTGATACTGGCAAGGCCCACCCCCCTACCCATGCACTTTGCTCCCTGCAGGGCGTTTGGTGAGCCCCCAGGTTTCAGGGAGACATAGGGGGCTTTTGGAAGGAAACAAGGTGGCCTTGGGGCTCCAGGTGGAAGGGCCATGCCATAGACTCAAGAGCAGAGACAGGGAGAGGTCGAGGGCCAGACTTATCAGCCGCCTCACCCTGAGACTGCTGTCCACAGCAGACAGGATCACAGGACCTGCTTCAGATGTGGAACCCAGCTGTACCCCCGATGGAGTCGACAACAGCAAATTACACACAAGTTTCCTTCGAGAAGGTTCTACATCTACCCCAACAGGGCTCAGCCTGGGCATGATGAGGCCTGCTTCCCCGCATCTCCCAAGCACACAGGCCGCACACCTGAAATGGAGTCTTGAAGTCACCCCACCAGGCACCTTCTCCAGGGCCCCACAGGGCACCCAGGCCACACATGGGACTACATGCATCCTCTGCCAGCCCCATGGTATTGTCCCTGCATGGTCACATGTCCACAGACAAAAAGGAATGGCCCTGTGTTGCGAGGTACAGTTCTTATCCTGTGTCTGCATCTCAAGAAAGGTCCCATAACTTTAAAGTGACAATGCAGACTGTCAATAGCACGTGCATCCCTGGCTTGCACAGGGGATGAGCCCAGGGCGGGCCTCACTATGCGGGTGGGAAGGTCCAGGCTCTGGAGCATGCAGTGTTTGTGAGCTCCTTGGAGAGGGGCTGAACTCGTGCTGAAGGTGTGAAGATGGACAGGGGCTGGGCATGGTGATGCTCGCCTGTCATCCCAGCCCTCTGGAAGCTGAGGCAGGAGAATCAAAACAAGTTTGAGGTCAGCCTGGACTACGAAGTGAGTTCAAAGCCAGCCTGCGCTACATGGTGAGACCTTGTCTCAAATTGAATACAAAATAAAGAAAGAAAAGGGGAAGAAGGCAATGCGGGTCCAAGGGTGGGCTGGGCACACCAAGCCAGTGGTGGCCACACTGTGGCCTGGCTTGCACATCATGGCCTAGAACTGCAGCAAAGCCAGGGAGATCCTCTGAGATCATGGGGTCTCTCCAGGTGCACAGGCCAGGAAGCTGAGGGTCAGGGATGGAACAGGACTTGGCACCAAACAAAGCTGCCGCAGTCCTCTTTTCTCCAGGGCTAATGACTCAGGGGAATTAGCTGCCACAGACACGGCCAGGCCTCCCTCTGCTACTCCCTCTCCATCGTTGGCGTGCCAGCCCTGCCCAGCCTCTCCCTGGGCAGAGAAGCCAGCTGGGGACACCCCACTCCAGCCACCACTGCCTGGGAGAGAGTGTGCCTCCCTCTAGCATGGCAGGTTCCCTAGGTCCCCACTGCCACCCCCCTCCATTATGGCTGTGGCTCAAGACCTCTGAACGCACTCATCCGGAGGCCAATGCATCCCCCTGCATCAGAGCCGCTGCCACAGGTACCCCCCCCCCGGAATAGCATGTCCTCAGACTTCCGGAGAGGTGAGAGGGGGGTGTCTGTGACCTCTGGCTGGAGTAGGGGGAGCAGCTAGACCCTGGTGCCTGCACCCCAATCCCCGCTGACTCCAAGCCCCTCCCACAGTGTCCTGGCTCCACCCCTTCCAGGCACTGGAGCTCCCACGCTATTCCTAATAGCTAAAATCCGACTCGGGACAATGCGACTGTACAAGGGGGCGGCAGCACCCAGACAGCTACACCCCCTCCATCATGGGAGCGGGAGGCCGCCCGGGAGGCCAAGCTGTCCCCGGTCTTGGCCTCTGCTGCAAGCAGGGGTTTCGAAGGGGGTTAGCTCAGGCCCAGCCTAGGTCGAGGTCCCCCACCCCACTCCGAGACAACGCCACCCGCCCAGGGCTGGGTGCGCCAGGAGGCAGCGGCCGAGGCTGGCAGGTGGGAGGCAGGCGGGTAGGGTAGGGGCGCGCGAGGCGGAGGGAGACGCCGGCCAGGCCTCGGCCCCTCCCCGCGCGCCGCCGGCGACACTGCCCCTCCTGGGCAGGGGGCGGAGAAGACCGAGACGGGAGGGGAGGAGGAGGCGGCGGCGGCGGCGGCGGCGGAGGCGGGATTTGGAGTTTCCCTCGGCAGCGGCGGCGGCGGCGGCCCCTAGGCTCCAGGCGAGGCCGCTGCCTGGGGCTCTGCTGTCATTTGGCGGTGGCAGTGGCGCTGCCTGCCGCCCGAGCTTCGGGAACTTCCCGGCCGCCAAGCTCGGAGCCGGGGCGGGAGCTGAGCCCGGCGGAGGTGAGCTGAGCACGCGGCGCCCCGGGCCCCACCCCACCCCCACCCGGCCTGGCCGCCCCGAAACGTGCGATCCTCCGCCCTGCATCCCCAAGTGCTGCCAGCGCACACCCGTGGGGCCGAAGCGCGCGCCCTCACAAGACCAATTGGGCCCCACCGCCTGGACTCCCCACACCCTGCCGCGCATCTCCGAGCCGCGGCCACTTCCACCAGCGGCAGGCTCGCGGGCGGGCAAGCCACGCACCGGGTCGCCAGAGTGCACATCCCTCACCACTGTCCCCAACTCACACTGACGCCCATTCTGGCCCCAGCCACGCCCCAGGACACGCCCAGGCGCGCACACGCCTGCCAGCCCTATGATCTCTGCGCTGACAGGGCTCCTCTCGCGTGCCCCCACCAGCTCAAACTCTCCATCTGCCCATTAGCAGACGCCTGCCCACGACCCAGTCAGAGACACTGCAGCCCCTCCAGGAGCCAAGTCCCCACACAAACCCACACCCCAGTGGCTGACACTCCCCACTCGCTGGCAGGCAGCTCCAGCAGCCCCGCACGCACTCCTACACCCCAACATGAGCACACCTGCTCCATCGCAGGCGCCCAGCCTCCCGCCCCACCCCCTCGCGAGTAGCCTTGGACACCCCCCCCCCGCGTCGCCAGGCCCTCCCACCACTCCCCCTGCACCTGGCACGCGGGCTGTGAGGCTGCAGCGTCGTCCGGTGGCATCCCCGCTAAGCACCTTTAGCCATCCTTCACGGCAGCTTCCCAGCCTGGGGCCAGCCAAGTGCCTCCCTAAACAGCTCCTGAGCCTCCCGGGGACTGGGGTGACCTCTTCCCTAAGCCATAAAGGAAGCACTTGAGGCCCAAGGTATGGCACTTAGATGTGGGCTCAAGGGACTGCCTTGGGGGGGGAAGCACAGAGAGAGGCAGGCAGTGAAATGCAGCAGGCCCAGCTGGGGTCGCAGAGGTGCCCACTGCTGGGCACGCATGCAGCGGGCTGGTTCCGAGAGGGCTAGAGCCCGCGTGCACCGTTTGTGTCCCCATCTCCGAGTAGGGGTGCGCGCACGTGTGCTCCTGCGTGTCTGGGAGGAGAGAGTGACGGCAGGAGGGAAAAGCAGGAGCTGCACTGTCCCGGGCTCCCAGGGCAGCAATTGCTTTTATTAATTCCTGCCTTCTTTGTTAACTAGCATTTCTTCCTTGAGCGCCGCGAGGGTCGGGCACAGGGCCTGCACTGGGGGATGGGGTCAGCATATGCACGGCCCTGCCTTGGAGGAACTGCCAGTCCCGCGAGGACCCCGACCGAGAAAAGCAGAGTGCCATCCTCAGTGGAAGTGGATTTGGTGGAAAAAGACACTGGATTTGGCAGGAACGCTGTCGCTGGGAGTTGCGCTCCTAGCCATGTGACCGGGCGAGCCGTGACAGCCACTTGGCCTGGCGGGAACGGTGCGGGGGGGGGGGGGTGCTCCCGAGCGGCACAGGGTCCACCAAGCGCACGGAGCGCGCAGGACCGCTAAGCTGCGGAGGCGTCCGGACGGAGGCTTCCAGGGGGCAGAAGCCAGGGCGTCCGGCAGGCACAGCGGTGGGCGCAGCGCCCACCCTGCGGTGAGCCGAGAGCACGCCTGGCTCCACCCGCCGGAGGGGGCCAGGCGAGGCCGGGGTGCTTGGCCGCTTGCCCGGGGAGTGGCCAGGAGGCGGGGCCAGAGCGCCAGCGGGACGCCGCGGGGGACCCGGGTGGGGGGGGGCAGGCAGGGGTCTGGGTGGAGGCGGGCTTGGCGGCACTCGGGCCTGCAGTGCGGAGGTGGCAACAGGTTCCCATTTGTCCTGTTGCTGGTGCTGCGGGCACCAGCAACAGAGCAGTGACTTTGGAGACTGACTGCCCCTCACCCCTCACTCCTGAAGGCGTTGTCGCACGAGGTGGGAGGGCCACCAGCCAAGGGGACCATACAGGAGCTGGGAGACACAGGGCCGCTGGTGTCTGGGCCTCCCTTTGCTTCCCCACTGCGGAGCTGGCCTCCAACCCCAGCCACATCCCCAGCCCAGATCCAGGCTTCTCTTTCCGGAAGCCCTCTCCAGAGAGCAGAGTGGGGCAGAGGCACCAGACCCGAACACAGTACCTCCACAGTAGGGTGGGTGGGACGGCCTCTCCAGCTTCTCACCCGACACACTACTCTGCCTCTCCCATCCTCAGTGACTGCCCACCCCCAAAGTCCCACCCACAGCCACAGCCATCAGGTGGGGTGCCCATGGCCAGGTGGCAGCTACGCTGGGCGAGCCTGAGAGCTAGAAGGCAGAGGCTCTTCCAGGAGCATGCCAAGAAAGGGCCCTGGCTGGGTAGGGGCCTGGAGAAAGAGCTCGACCAGAAAGGCAGGACAGGGAGAAGGCACCACTCAGGCCAGCCCTCGCATGCAGGCATTAGGACCATCTTACAGGCCAAAAGCGAACCTTGGGCCTTTGGCTTAGGAGGCAGGGAGGAGGTGACCGAAGGCCAAAGAGGTGGCCTGACTCTGTCATGGCGTCTTCCCTTGGCTTCACTGCAGGTGTCTTGGGTAGCTGCACGCTTCCGGACGTGCAGACGGCCAACAGCCATCCTAGGCACTGGACTTGCAGTGGCTTGGCATTTTTCCACCCCTGGAAGGATGTCCTGTGGCGGCCGTCAGTGTTCATACATGTGCTTGCGTTCACTGAATCCTCAGGGGACATTCGCAGAAGTGGCTGAGGGGGCAGGTTTTCCGTCTAGCTCTTGGTGCACACTGCCAGCTTCATTTCCAGAAAGGCCCCCCCAGATGAGAACCCAACAGCAAAACACAACGGTGACATGCCGGTCTCCAGCAAGCCACCAAAACACTAGGCGGCCACGCTTGGAGCATGTTCACTACGGTTTAATAAGCGGGAAGTGTTACCTTGTTGTTGTTACCTAGTTTTCAATTTTATTAGTGGTTTGGGGTCCATGGTGATTCCGCTCCCAGCGGGGAGCCGCTACATGCACAGAACCATCTTCACTCTCCTCCCCCTCCTCCCCCTCCGTCTTGGGGTCTGGGTTGGATTTCCTGCAAACATGTTTGACGCCATCACATTCCTTCCTTCATGCAGCGTGTACTCTTCTTAAATCCCTGAGCCTTTATCTGCAGGGTCTTAACCTTCTGATTTTTTTGTATGAGCTTTATCTTATCCGACCTATGTTTTCTTTCAACACTGTTATTTGCTTTTGTTGGGCTTTGGGCAGAAAAAGGACTCATGGCCAGATGGGGTTTCTAGAAGCCTCCTCTCACCCCTCCTTTCATTGTCCCACTGAGCACTTATCACCCCCGTATCTCACTTGGTGTCTTGGCTTATTGTCCATCTGCCCTGCTGGACTGGAAGTGCCAGATAAGCAGAGACCCTGTAGTGTCTTGCCTGTCCATCACTTGTGTCCAGGGAAAGCATGAAAGCCACCAGCCCCTGTTGAATGTGTGATGTCACATAGGACAGGGCACGGAGGAGGGTGGATTGAGGCACTCAGGCTGTGACAGCAACTGGCCTGGGGATTCGAGCCCAGAGCCAGTACAGGGGGCAGCAGGGGTTGCCTGGGTGGAGAGGGCCAGGGCCAGAGGGAAGCAGGACGTGGTGGAGTAGAGTGTGATAGAATGGGGTGTCCGGGTTGGGGTGGGGTGCTCAGAGCCCCTGGGTCCCTCAGCCTGGTCTGTGCACACAGAGCAGGGCTCACGCCGGGTGCCCGGGTGCCCTGTGCCAGCTTTGGGCAAAGATCTGGGCCCTGAGGCAGCAGGTTTCCAGTCCGCCCTTCCTCCTCTACTCCTCGATTTCAGGGCCATTTCAGAGGTATCCAGCAGTGCCTAAGCTGAGGCCATTATGTAGATGCGGCCGCCAAGGTCCAGGCAGGGACTTAGGCTGGGCGGGGATGGCTGAGTGACTTGCTGGAAGTCACTTATGGGGCAGGGGCCCTCAGCCTTAGTGTCCCCTGTCCCCTCCCCCCTCCACTGACCAAGCCGGTGCCTGCCAGAGTAGCTGCAACTGGTCCCTTGCTGGGCCCCCAACCTGCCCTTGGCCTCTGCCCTGATCCCATCCCGCCCTGGCGAAGCTGCGGCTCAGCCCGCCACTCTGAGGGCCCACCCGACCCTCTGGCTCGCGCCGCCGTTGGCTGGCCGGCCCCGAGCCCGCCCGCCGCCCCGCCCCGGCCCGCCCCCCGGGGCTGCTACTCCTGTCCGACCGGGCGCTCTGGGGTGCAAACTGGGTCGCGGTGCAGGACGCGTCGCCTCAGGCTCCGCTTCCACGTGTGAGCCTGCCGCGCAGCCCCGCGCCACTCCGGCCCTCTGGGACTTCCTCCGGTACCCGCGCCTTGCCGTCGCAGTAGCCGTGGCCAGAAGGTCCACGGGCGGCCGTCTGCCACCGAATCGCGCGCCAGGTCTCTCTCCCTTTGTGCTCGGGGGACGGGAGGGGGGTTGGAGCCAGGTCAGCCCCGAGGGGCATCGCCCAGGCCCTGCCTGAGCGCCCCTCTTGTCCTGCATGCCCGAGTTCTGACGCTCACACTCAAGGAGCAACTGCCGGGAGACTGCGCTGCTCTGCACCCGGCCGCAGTGCGAGCTGCGCCCCGTGCTCGCTCGGGCGCTTTTCTTGGGGTGCCCCGCTGGGTGTCCTCCTCGTGGGCGGCGCGCGGCGCGGGAACCCTGGGCTTGCCTCACGCGCGTCGCGCTCCCCGTCTCCCCACAGTGCCCGGTGCCCCGCGAAGTGCGCCCATGGAGGGTCTGGGCCGCTCCTGCCTGTGGCTGCGCCACGAGCTGGCGCCCCCGCGCCCGCGCCTGCTGCTCCTGGACTGTCGCAGCCGGGAGCTGTACGAGGCGGCGCGCATCGGCGGGGCGCTGAGCGTGGCGCTGCCCACGCTGCTGCTGCGCCGCCTGCGGAGGGGGAGCCTGTCGGTGCGCTCGCTGCTGCCCGGTCCGCCGCTGCAGCCGCCGCCGCCCGCGCCCGTGCTGCTGTACGACCAGGGTGGCGGCAGGCGCCGGCGCGGGGACACCGAGGCCGAGACCGAGGAGTGGGAGGCCGACTCGGTGCTGGGCACCCTGCTGCAGAAGCTGCGCGAAGAAGGCTACCTGGCCTACTATCTCCAGGGTAAGTGGAGGCACACACAGGTGGGAGCAGGGCCCTCCGGGGGTGCATGATCGGCTGACCCAGGGCACCCCAACTTTCTATGGCTAAAGTGGGAGGGGGAGCCTCCCTCCTGGACTGCAAACCAGGCTGCTTTGAGAGGAGGGAGCTGCAGTGTGACCTTGGGCATGCACTTTACCCCTAATCCCCAGAGCCTGGCTGGCCTGTTCACAGGATGCTCAAGAACCAAGTGGCACTGTGCACAGGCGGCTGAGGCAGGAGGATCCCAGCGAGTTTGAGGGCAGCTTGGACTACACACGTGGGGCAGGGAGTTGGGCCAGTAGCAGGAGATCAGGCTGTCCAAGAAGGACTGCTGGACAAGCCATGCAGGACAAGGGGCGGAGAGGAGGGCGGGGTGCAGGACAGGCGGGCTGCCATGGGCCTATCAGCTCCTGTCCTCAGAGGCTAAGCGCGGGCTCCAGAGCCAGCCGTCGCCATGTTCCACTCTGTTGATCACCAGAAAAGTGCCTTGGGGCTGCACTGGGGACAGAGAAACATAGAAAGTGTCAGGTATACAGGCCCCCCCAGCCCCAGCCCTGTCCTGAAGACTGGAACTATCACACTGTCTCCTATGCCGCCTCATGGTGGCTCAGGCAGCGAACTCACACCTGACTGTCCCTTCTTGAGCTGACCACACATGTCTGCGACCACACAGCCTTCACCCCCACCCCCACTCAAGCCTTGGGGCTCCGAGGCCTCTCGGGGCCCCTCCACCCAGCCCAGTGACTCAGGCGTCCAGCAGCTGCAGCAGGCACTGAACCCACACTTCCCGGTGTCCATGCAGCTGCCAGCTTCGAGCTCTTCCTCTGGGGACCTTCACAGACCTCCATGGTACCCCCCCCACCCCCTGCTGCTAGTACACAGCCGGAGGTGGTCAATGGCACTCTCTTTCCGTGCAGGCGGCTTCAGCAGGTTCCAGGCTGAGTGTCCCCACCTGTGTGAGACCAGCGTCAGCAGCCTCAGCAACCGGGCAGGCGCAAGTCTGGCGCCAGTGCCCAGCCCCATGCCTGTAGTGGGGCTAGGTGGCCTGTACCTGGCCTCTGAGTGCTCCGATGCTGAGGCCGAGGCTGACCGCGACTCCATGAGCTGTGGCCTGGATTCCGAGAGCACCACGCCCCCGCCTGTGGGGCCGATGCCCTCTTTCCCAGTCCAGATCCTGCCCAACCTCTACTTGGGCTGTGCCCGAGATTCGGCCAACCTGGAGAGTCTGGCCAAACTGGGCATCCGCTACATCCTCAATGTCACCCCTAACCTCCCGAACCTCTTCGAGAAGAATGGTGACTTCCACTACAAGCAGATCCCCATCTCGGACCACTGGAGTCAGAACTTGTCCCAGTTCTTTCCGGAGGCCATCACATTCATTGGTGAGTCCATGCCCCCTCACTGCCACCCCCGACCTGGCCTTACCCCCTTCCCTGATGGCGTGTGGGGGAGGGTAGGCCGAGGGCTACCTGGCCCTCGAGGACTGCCCATTTCCCTCCACCTGGCATGGCTGTGCCCAGGTTACAGACCCCGTCCTGCCCTGTCTAGATGAGGCCTTGTCGCAGAACTGCGGGGTGCTCGTCCACTGCCTGGCAGGGGTCAGCCGCTCTGTCACTGTCACCGTGGCCTACCTCATGCAGAAGCTCCACCTGTCCCTCAACGATGCCTATGACCTGGTGAAGAGGAAGAAGTGGAGCATCTCCCCCAACTTCAACTTCATGGGGCAGCTGCTGGACTTCGAGCGCAGCCTGCGCCTGCAGGAGCAGCGCACGCAGGGCCAGGACTCTGCCACCTCCGACCCCCCTTCCTTCTTTACCACTCCCACCAGTGATGGGGTTTTCGAGCTGGATGCCACATAAGGCCCCAAGGGGCCGAGGGCTGCCCCTGCCCCCCTGCCCCGTGATGCTCAGTCACCTTCAGGGGCAGGGGCAGGGGAGGCACAGCCACAGGGGGCTGGAGGGAGGGAGAGCTCAATACCTCAGAAGGGTGGCACAGTACAGCCACTCCACCCACTTGGGACAGCCATGGGAATCCCATGAAATGTGCCTAGGGGCCAGCCGGGCCCACTGGCCTGTCCCCCATGCTCCAGCACCTGCCTTTTCTGCGACTGTTACTTTCCTCTTGGGGGGTTCCCTAACCAAGGGACCATTCTGGGTGACTGTCTATGCCACCTCCTCCTCTCCAGGGACCTGCTCCCAGACCTTTCCCAGTCCCCAGTGGCCACTTATAGGGAGGGGCGATCACTCCCACCAGTGTAGACCCTCCCTGCCTGTATGACCCGGGCTCGGACCTTCCGATGAATACCAGACCCTTTCTGGGTGGCTTCCGGCTGGAAGCCATCTGACACCCTGTCTGTCCTCCTCCCCAAGAAGTTTTAGGGGGCCCCTGGAGCCCTTTGGGACAGCCCCAGGGAGATGGGTCTCTGGCAAGGGCAGGGAGGACAAAGGATGAAAGTCGTGGTGGGTTTCAGGGGTGGGGAAGGGGCTGAGCTGCAGACACGTGGGTCATGCACCGAAGACACGCCTGGCCTGGGGCTGCCAGTCCCTTGTCACCTCTGAACTTAGGCGAGGGCTGCGCTTGTTTTTGTAATCCACATTATGATTGCTTTCTTTAATCATTCCTCCTGAATAAACAGTTTATTTAAGATACCAGAGCACGGCCGGTTGCTTCCCGAGCACCTTGGGGAGTCGGGGTGGGACCAGTGTGGTTGGCGAAGTGTGGCATGTGGCAGTTCCAAGAAAACGGAAGCAATAGCCAGGACCTCCATGTCTCCTGCTCTCGGGCACTGCTGGGACCTTGTGTTCACTGTCACTGGAGGGACTGTGAAACTGCCATCCTCTGCCAGGGTGACAAGGCAGAGGAGAGGGCAGCTGGAAGGTGTCACCCCAGCACAGTGGGCTTGAGGTCAGCCTGAGCTACACAGTAGGAGGCTCTGAGGTGACAACCTGGAGAAATGTTAGTGACATTGCCTTATGACAAAATCAGAGCACAAAACAGATCACCCCACAGAAAAGAGGTGAGGAGGGACAGGGTCTCGCTGCACAGCCTAAGCTGGCCTTGAACTCGTAGCGATCCTCCTGCCTCAGTCAGCTGAGTGCTGGGAGGACAGGCATGCGCCTCAGTGCTCAGCCCATGTGATCTCTAAATTTCTACTCTTATCAGGGCACATTTGCAGGATCCAATGTCCGCATTCCCCGCGGGGAGCTGGGACATGCACAGACATCCTCACTCCCGCCCCTCCGTCCCCCTCCTGCCCGCCCCTCCATCTCCTGTCCTCTTCCTCCCATATCCTACTAGCTATCTTTTCCTCGCTGTTTTATTCCCGCAGCAGGTTTGTCACGTAGGAGAAATCATGAGGCCTTAAGCTTGGGTGCTGATTTATTTGCCAGTTCTCCTACAGATTTGCTTAGAGTGTGACAGGCCCATACAGATAGCAAGGTGGAGGACAGGCTGTGTAAGAGCAAACACAGCCCAGCAGGCCCAGCTGAGGCGGACACAACCCTCCACCAGGAGCCGTGCTGCCCACACACACTCCTCCAGGGCACAAGCGCGCAAAGAGCCAGGCATGGTGGTGCACCTCATCTGGGGACTCGGGAGGTAGAGGCAGGAGGGTCACCGCTCACCACGAGGTCCAGGTCAGCCTGGGATGCACAGCGAACCCGTCTCTAAGCCCCTACATCATACTTACGTTGGACGGTGTATGATTTCACAGTGTGCTGTCTTAGCAGAACTGGAATACAGCTCTGTGTCTGTTTCGGTTTGGTTTTTTGTTTGGGTTCTGTTTTTAAATGCCCAGGTAGGAGAGATGCTATACATCCTCCAGTCCTGGTCCTCCCCAGCCTTGCTGGCAGCTCCCTGCAGCCTGGCACCCCTGGCACAGAAGCCTGGTTATTTGAAGCCCAGGCGCCATCGCTCTAGGGCCCCTGCCATATCTACCTGGACAGCGCCCCCTGGGGCCCTTCCAGTTGGTGTCCGATTCTGATCTTCGATGCTGGGAATCATATGCTGAGGGCACTGGAGGGGACACATTTCAGACCCATCTTGTCAGGAGCCTGTGCCCGGTCCCCTGAGTGTCACCAGAGCACTCCTGGCAGGGCTCCTGCAGGTCCGCTCTGAACTCTGCTGGCCCACATGGCATCTGGCACCACGCCGCTCCCTCTCAACCCCCCTCAACAGCTAGAGGTCCCATCCTGACCAGCCAGGCTGGTACTATGACCTCCATTCCTGGAGGGGCCCATGCTGGTTCCTCTAGTTCATCGGTTCAGGTGTGATGACTCTCAGCCAGCCACAATCCAGCACCAGAAACCAGAAACCAGAAACAGAACTGGCGCTCCTGGGGTGGTGGATGCTTTTCTTTCTCTCTCTTTTTTTTTTTTTTTTTTTTGCTGTTGGTAGTGGTGGTCAGGGTTTCACTATGTCACCCAAGCTGGCTTCAAACTCATTGTTCAGGGCTGAGAATATAGCTCAGTGGCACAGCACCTTCCTAGCAAGTGCAGTCATGAGTTCAAGTCCTGTTACCAAAAAAAAAAAAAAAAAAGCAGAAGAAACAAGCTCACTGTTCAGGCTGGCCTTGAACTCCTCCTGTCTCAGCCTCCCAGTGTTGGTATCATGGCCCATTTCGATATTGACTCACTTCAAGTGATTTTGAAGTAGCTAGCTCTAAGCTGTTTATGAGAGTCATCAAAAGGATGGGACAAAAAAGAGGCGGGAAGGGTGAGACTCTGACTGTGGCCAAACTCGGTTCCTGGCAAACAATCTCCAGCAAAAAGCGACTAGAAAGCTGATGGCATTGATGAGAGCAGCCAGGTGCGGCAGCACTCGGAGGCTGAGGCCAGAAGACTGCCACTAAACAAACAAGCAAAAAGTTGCTAAGGGAATCGTTTCAGATCGGTAAACCAGGTGAGTGTGCAGGCGAAGGCTCAGGAACTGGCAGTGGGGCACTGGGTAAGGATGGTGGAGATATGTGGCACCCTGGCCTGAGTCTGTGTCCACCCCTTGTGGTCTGCTTGCCCTGATGACTGTGGAGAGCAGCCAATCCTCTGCCCTGACACAAAGGACCCACTGAGTTTGGAGTGGCACTGTCCTAGGAGCAATTTGTCCCAGGTGGCCAGCAGTCAGGGGACTGGAACCCAGGGCCTTTGCACGTGCCTATAATCCCAGCACATTGGAGACAGAGGACACTATGAATTCAAAGCCAGGTTAGACTACAGAAGAGTGTGATCCTGTTTCAAAAAACAAAGCAAAACAAACACAAAGTTTGGGGCACAGAGTCTCATTAAGTTAACCAGCCTGGGCTTGAACTTGTGATTCTCCTGCCTCAGCCTCCCAGAGTGCTGGTACCACAGTGTGCACCAGTACACCTGGCTCAAGCTAAACATTTTAAACCAGGTGACACATATTTTAAAAACTAGAAAACAATCTTAGCAGTGACACCAGTGATTGCATACTGCAGGGGGAAAAATTACATGAAAAAATCACAAATCGCATGTGTTCTCTGTCCTGTGGAATCTAGAAAGAAGAGATGCTGCAAAGTAGACGGAGAGGGATGCAGGGAACACTGGCGAATATGCTCAAGCAAAAGCTGCCATTCTATCTGGCTGCACTTGGGAGGCTGAGGCAGGAGGACTTCGCTAGTTCAAGACCAGCCTATATCACAAAATGAGACCTTGTCTCAGAAATGAATGAATAAATAAAGTCAAAGGTGATTTTGAATAGAAAAATGACCCATGCAGAAGAGAACCAGAGTCAAGCTGACATCTAAATTCTCATCAGAAAAGATGGTGGCCAGAAGGCAGTGGGGTAACAGTCAAAGCCCCATAGATTCAGGAGGCTGAAGCAGGAGGATCACAAGTTCAAGACCAACCTCGTCCATTTAGTGAAACCCTGTCTCAAAATGGAAAAGGCTGGGGAAGCTCAATGGCAGAGCACTCACCTACTGTCAAAGGCCCTGGGTTCAATCCCTGCCACTACAGGAAAGAAGAAAGCAAGCAGGAAAAAAGAACAATGCTATCAGTCAGAACCTCTACATGCAGCAGTTGTGCCTTAAAAATTGAAGGCTAGGCTGCATGTGGTTGCACACCTGTCATCCCAGCACTGGGGAGGCTGAGGCAGGAGGATTACTGTGAGTGCAAGGCCAGCCTGGGCTACATAGTGAGACCCTGCCTCAAAAAAGAAAACAAAAACCCCAGAAATGAAGACCAGCAAAAATCATAAATAAATGAATTAAGATAAAAGTCACACAGGGTGAGCTGTGGCTTGGCGCAGAGCACTTGCCCAGCATGTGCAAGCCGCTGGGTTCCATCCCTAAAACTGAAACAAAATTCTCAGTACTTTTCTTCTTTTTTGTGTTGGCGGGGACTGTTTGAGGTAGAATCTATGTAGCCCAGGCTGGCCTTGGACTTTTGATGATCCTCCTGCCTCAGCCTCCTGAGAGCGGAATGACAGGTGCGCACCACCATGCCTGAAAATTGCTATTTTTTCAAAAGAACACACAATTAAGTCCAGTGCAACAGCACATGCCTGTTCTCCTGGGGTGTGAGAGGCCGAGGCAGAAGGATTGCTGTGAGTTCAAGGACAGCCTGACCTACAAAGCAAGATCTTGTGTCAAAAGAAAAATTTAAAAACACAGGAAATAAAATGGTATGCTAAGACATTTAACACAAAAGAAAGCAGTCAGAAAGCATGCTGAGAGGCTGAGGTGGGTGGATCACAAGTTTGGGCAATTTGGTGACGTCCTGAGACTTTGTCTAGGTTTATCAATCATTGAAAATGTGGCACTGAAATATCCAACTGTGATTTGAATTTTCACCTCTCAATTTCTTCATTTTAAAATCCATTTTATTTCAAGGATAAAAAGAAGAGAAACAGGAAAAACTACAACAAAATTTCAAAACATGTTAATCAGGGCACAACAATTCTTTCAATTTTAATCCCAGAAAATTAGTAAGGATATAGAACAATACACTTCAGCCAGGTGTGGTGGTGCACACCTGTCATTCCAGGGGTCGGGAGGCTGAGGCAGGAGGATCATTAGGAATTCAAGACCAGCCTGGGCTACGAAGTGAGCTCAAGGCCAGCATGAACTGCACAGTGACACCCTGTCTCAAAAGGAAAAAACAAAAAACAAAACAAGGAAGGAAGGAAAGGAAAGAGAAAGGAAAAGAAATCAGCATAGACTTGAAACTAGCACAAAAACACAACACCGCACACCTTCGCTGATGTGTTCAATAAATTAACTAGAGAATAACAGCCAATCCATCACAAACTCTGAGAAAATAGAAGTACGGACACTTTCCGTGTCAGTATCACCCTAACTCCAAATATGTCACAAGAAAAACTACATGCTGACACCCTTTGTGAGCACACAAACGCAAATCCTTAACACAGTGCTTAAAAACTGAACACGCAGTGTGTGCTCGCCATCCCATGACTCAGGAGGCTGAGGCAGGAAACTGTCACGGGTCTGAGGAAGCAGATTAGTAGCTTCCATGAGCTGAGCAGTGGTCATGGGAAGCTAATGGTACCTGGTTTTCTTCTGGAGTAATGAAAATATTCTGGAATCAGAGGTTGGAGACTGTAGCAAAACTCCATAAGTATACGCAAAAAAAACACCAAACTGCATTTTCAAGGGTATATTTCATAGTATGTGAATTACATTTCAATGAAAAAACTTTTAAGTTTGAGAGGATGGAAAAAGATATGGCGGGCAAATAGTAACAAAAAGGTATAGTTATGTGATTACTGTCGGACAAAGCAGAGCAGTGAAAAGGAGTGCGAGGCACCAGCGCCTGTCACTACTCAACCTACCTGAAATATATAGCAGTTGTCAACACGCATGCTCTTAATAACATAGCTTAGAATTACATAAGGCACCAGGTGAAAGAACTACAAGGAGAAATTGGCCTCCACTCAGGGGACCCTGTGAGAGCAGAACCTGGCTCGCAGGATGAGAAGGGCTGTCAGAACCCCAATGGGGTGTGAGGGAGGAGAACTGCACAAATGAGTGTGTGGATTTAAAATTTGTCAAGAGGGACCAGAAAGGGCCAAAAAATACCAGGAAGCACTTCTGAGGGGAAGAGGTAGGGAGACAAGATCTCACAAACTGGCCTTGAACTGGTAGAGATTCTTCTGCCTCAGCCTCCCCTTCCTAGGGTGGGGATGATAGGTGAGGGCTACCACTCCCACGTTGAAAGCATTCTTAAGCAAAATTCCAGTGTCATCTGCATCCTGCTTAAAAGGCTTCAGGGCCAGGGATGTAGCTCAATGGCACAAGTGCCTGCCTGGCAAGCACAAAGTCCTGAGTTTGATTCCCCGTATCAGGAAAAAAAAAAAAAGGCTTCAGTGGCTCCTTGGTCCCCTCTTGGAAAGGTCTCTTCACGCTCTCTATAGCCACTTCCTCTCCCAGCTGCCCTACAAATTGGGGTTCTTCACGATTTCCAAAGCACCCAATCCTTTGATCTTGCCAGCCTGCAGTCAAAAGGTGGAGCTGGGGCGCCCAGGGGAAAGGTGAGCTCAGTGGCAAACACCGTTACCACGGACATGAACAGTGTTGGGCAGGAAGGACTGTGCAGCTTGTGGCGCCAGCTCAGCCACTGCCTGGCTTCTCTCCTGGGGTCCTGGCAGCACCCTGACTCCCTCATGCCCATGCCAGCCCCCCCAAGCTGCATCCCACATGCACCATTTCTGGGCCACCCATCGCAGCCCTCCCACCATAGGAAAAACCCTAGTCCCCACTGGATGGGACTTGGAGGCAGACAGAGCACCTTCAAGGACCACCCCGAAACCCAGGGTGGGTCCCCCAGCACACTGACACTGCAGTCTCAGAAGGAAAGGTGGGACGCAACCCCACACCACCCTATGTCCCAGGCCACAAACCACTGGTACTGGGGCAGGCAGGAAGATGTTTGTCCCACTACAAGCTGTGTGGTCTCAGCCTCTCCATACCTCAGTTTCCCCATGTGGAAGGGTAAACAATGATGAGGTTTTAATTATCTCATTCTCAGAGGAGTTTCAAGTGAAACTATGCGCAGCCCCGACCAGCAAGAGACACATAGCAAGTGCTCACTTGAGTGCTGCCTGTAGCATCTCTGTCTGTCTGTAAGGCTGGCTGCATACCTGCAAAGAGGGGCTCTGTCTCTATTTCCTGTCCCTCAGGCACCTCCAACTTGGCACATCAAACCCACGTCACCATCTCTCCAAGCCACCCTACTTAAAACTTCGTTGACAAATGGTCGCACTGGCCACTCAGCATGGCCACCTGTCCCAGAGTGGCCCTCCGGATGCAGCTTTCCTGAAACCCCTGTCGCCCACAAGCGTGCTCCAGGCCTCACTCTGCTTGTCCCAGGTGTGGGGGTGCCCCTCAATTCCCAGGAAAGACGCCCCACTCTGCATCCCGCTTCCAAGCACCTCACCAGATAGTGTCAGGGGGGCTCCACCACCGGCCACCGGCCCTCTCCCACCTACTCAGCCGAGCCTGCTTGCCCTCAGGACGGCACAAGGCACAACTGCAGGTGACCCCAATCTTTCTCCTGACAATGTCCCTGCCTGCCGCTTCCCCAAGTACTTCAAGGTCCAGAGGTAGCCAGGGGCGGTCGAAAGATGTGGTCATGGTGCCCCCTGCCGGCAGGAGGCCAAACTGCAGAGTCGGGATCGCCCCTGCTGAGGCACAGGGGGTCTTGTCATCCAGGTGAGACCACGCCCCTCCCAGTCCCCTCTGCTGATGGCAGGAACCTCCTCTGATGCGCCCACCCATGCCCAGGACCTGACACACACCCAAGGCCCAACCGACCGTGACCCACAGGCAAGGCAAGCAGGGACCCCACAAAGGAGCAGAGAGACCTGGCCCAGGGTGGGACTGGGCTATGTGGTCCAACATCGGACACGTGGAGTGGCCTGCAGGTGGCCTCAGATTTCTGGGTTCAGGAAGCTGTGGCATTGTGCCAGCACAGAGAGTAGTTGTCCCTGCTTCCACTTCGACAGGACAGGGTCATTGCTGCTCTCCTCGGTGGCAGCCAGGCCCTCTGGCTTCAACTTGAGCCTGAGCCCCCCGGCAAGCCCCGCTGGTCCCCGAGTTCACTGCAGTGGGCCCTGGGTACCCGGACATGGCAAGGGCCCCTGGGGAAAGTGCCCATCATCCTCCTGCCACAGCCCTCATGCTGGACACACTCAGACCTCTTGGGTAGCCGACCTGGTGGACAGTGGCCTGTTTGGCAAGGGTTGGAGTGTTGGAGGAAGTTCTGGGGTGATTAGGAGAGCAAGGTCCATTGTGGGGCCCCTTCCTCCACATCCATACCCCGGGGGACCAGGACACCACACCTCTCTCTCCTCAATGCTGTCCTTATTGTTGGGGACAACCTCAGGAAGGAGGTGGGGAGAGAGGGTCAGTCTGCTCGGCCTCGGCAGCCACCTAGGGTGGAGGAGGAAAAAGAGGTGATCCAGAGCCGGTGGTCTCCACGCACTATCGGGTCGCAGGAGCACCCACCTGCCTTCTCTGCCCTTCTGCTACTCCCGTCCTCTCTGCCCTCTGGCCAGTGGGCTCCATCCCACCTGGCTCTCAGCCCCACACACTCGGGTATCACCACTTGACAGCCGGCCAGTCTGCAGGCCAGGGTGGCTGTGACGAAGCATGCCCTGCCCTGTAGTCTCCTCGCCATCCGGGCTCTGTCCTAGCCTATGGATGTGGCACGGGAATGAGGCGGCATTGAATGCTCCATGCGGGAAGTGGGGGGAGGCAGGGGCAGCCGTGCCCCGATGCAGCCCCAGACCCTAAGGCCCACAGCAGCCCGGAGCGTCTCCCTATGAGCTTCCAGTGCATCCGGGCAAAGTTCCTCTGGATCTGCTCGCTGACGGAGCCCAGGATGTCCTTATTCAAGGCCATATCCCCAGAGATCCTGGGAAAGGCTAGAGATAAGGCAGGCCCCTGGCCACGGGACAGCTCGAGGGGCGGAACTCACCACAGGTGCTGCAAGGCCTGCTGCAGGTGAACCTCTTCTGGAGACCTCGCTCCAGAAGGTGCCGGATGAAATCTTTGGCTGCAGGGGAACCTGGTCAGCACTGTTCCCAGCGGTGGCCTCCCCTCCTGCACACAGGGCTGGGACCGGGCCCAAGCTCACCCGATTCGGAAGTGTCATCCCGGAAGGGGGAGCTGAACTCATAGCTGGCCCTCAGGATCTGGCTGAAAAGTTTGGGGTCGCTCTCATCGTAGAACGGGGGGTACCCTCACAGCCTGGCAACCACAGATGAGTCATTTGGCTGTCCGTCCCTCCCCAACCCAACAGGAGTCCAGCCTTCACGGTGGTCACATCCTAAGGATGCAGGAGATGGCACCCAGGGCCCACACATCTACAGCCTTACCGTGGGGTTTCTGCTCCAAAAGCTCTGGGTCTGGGGGCCAGAGACAGACAGGCAGACGCCACACATGGCATGCATGCAACAAACACACTGTCACCAGCTTCGGACCATGCAGCCCCAGGAGTGGGCAACAGCCCCCCAGCCCCTCGGCTGCCCAGGGTCCCTGGCCCGCCCAGCCCCAGGCAGCCTCAGAGTATGTGCCCTGCTCACCCATGTAGCCCGGGGTTCCACAGGCCACGCCCAGCATGTTCCCGGCCTGGATCTTGGAGAGTCCAAAGTCAGATATCATGATCTTTGAGTCCTCAAAAAGGGTCGCACAGAGGAGGTCTTTGGGCTACACGAGGGGTCAGCCTGGCGCAGCCCTAGCATCAGGATGGGGTGGGGCCCTGGGCGGGCTCTGTGGAGAGGCACTGTGGACAGCACCTTGAAGTATCGATGCACGATGCCCAGGCAGTTAGGAGACAGCCCCGAGGACCTGCCCCACAGGTGGCTGGGGTCCTTCTCGGCGTAGGAGCCCCGCTCCATGATGTGGTCAAACAGCTCACAGCCTGTCACCCTGAGGAGAGCAGGGGTCAGCAGTCCCTTGGCGCTGGCTCCCCCTGCACTGCCCAGCCCCCCACCCTACTCCCAGGCTCCTCACGGCTCCATGGCCAGGTACAGGTGAGACGGGCTCTCATGGACGTCCTCCAGGGCCACAGTGTTGGGGTGGCTGACAGAAAACCATTTTGGCCACCTGGGCCTGGACGCCCATGGACAGCCTCTTCTCATCCCTTCCCCACTGGGCTTGCCATTCTGTGCCCAAGGCATCCGGGACCATCTGGCCAGGGTGGGACAGACCCCCGCGCCCACCTGCGGAGCACGGCCATCTCATTCTGCCGTGCAATGCCTTCTTTGGGATGCACTTGAGGGCCACGAGGTGTGCAGGGGCAGATGGGGAGGCGTGGGGGTGCAAATTAGGACAGGGAAGGGGAAAGGAGGGGAGGAGGCAGAAGGGAGGGGGAGAGGAAGGGGGGTTTCTGGCTGAAGGAGTGGGAGAGGCCCCATGCCCCCCACCCTGGCACATGCACACGCCCACGTGCACACATTCACATCCACTGGCAAACTTCACACACCCAAACACCCACGCACCTCAATTCACTGATATCCACACACCCAGAGACACCCACACCCCATCCCATGGCTGCGCAAGTGTCGTGGGCACACACTGGCACACCCAGACCCGCGCACTCACGAGGCCAGCTTCCCCCATTTTGATCTCGATCTCAATCTCGTAGAGGCTGCTGATGTCCTCGGTCTGCTTCTTGAGCAGCAGTATGTCTGCGGGGGGCAGCAGTCCCCAGGGAGAGCTGGCCCTCTGCCCTCTGCCCTGGCCCTCAGCCCTCCCACCTCCCACCTCCGGCGGCGGGAGCCCCCTCCTGGCCCGGCTTGAGCCGACCCTCCCCCATAGCCACCTCTCACTGAGGTGGCTCCGCATCCCCTCCTTCCTCCCTGTCCCCCGAGGCCTTGCACCCCAACAGCGACCCACGCTGGTCCACCCCTCAACTCCACACATCGGAGCCAAGAGGCTCACGCTTTGCAAGGGCTTTAGGGGAGCCCCCACCCCGCCCCTTGGCCCACCTCCCACCGACAAAGCCCAGACCCCTCCCCCTCTGGCTCCTCCACGGCTGCACAGCTCCCACAGGCAGGCATGAGCCACCCAGGCCACCAACCAGTCAGAATGCACCTGTAGCCCCGCTCACGACCACCTGTCACGACCATGGCCACCCGCGCGGCGGGCCGCCCCGCTGCAGTTCGGCCCTCGGCGCCTAGTGAGAGTGGGCGACCTCGGCATCCCGGCCAACGTGTAGTGAGCTGCGTGCGCCGCGCGCGTCCCGGCAGGGGGCGCTCCAAACGTGACAGGTGTGCAAGGGGCGATAGCTGGCCCCGGTAGGCGGGTGCCCACCTGCAGCTGATGCCGGAGTGTTACCACTCTCAGTGGCTGCCGCACGGAGCCTCCAGTGGCGCCCCACCACCCCGCACCCTCCGCATGCTCCCGCGGCCGCTGCTGGTCAAGCACGTGGTGGCCAAGGAGCCTGTGGCCCTGGCGCTGCAGGGCTCCTTGTAAGGCAATCCCTGAGCAACTGCTTCCCTCCTTGCCTCTGCTGGCCAATTGGCCCAGGGCCGGCTGCTCCTAGCCCTGCTCAGTGGCCTCAGGGCCTTTGCACCACCAGGGACTCACATTAGGAAGTCTCTTCTCCCACTTGTTGCCATGGCTCTCTGCCTTTGGGCCTCTGCTCACACAGCCGCTGCGGTGGCCAGGCCAGCCAGGCCATCTTCCCCCTTGCAACTGCCATCCCTTGTACCTGGACCCTGCCTCCACCACTCCACGACCTGGAACCCCTGCCCACGGTCTCTTCCACCAGAACACATGGGACTGGAGGCTCCCAGGCCTCGCTTGACTCCATGCATGCCGCAGGCACTGCTCGGCCCTCTGTGGCCTCCCTCCACCCGCCAGCTGGGTGCCCTCCTGGAGTGCCTAAACCACTCTCTGTGCCCACCGGTCAGGTCCCCACACAGGCCTCTCTACCCCCACCGCAGCCGGGCTTCAGCTCACTCCTTGCCTAAATCCCCTTCTCTTTGGGCCAAATACCTGCATGCATGGGGTTGAAGGAGGTCTCATACTTCCGGCGGCCCTCTAGGAGGGAGCCTGGTGTCTTCACTGGGGCTGGAGCATGTCCCCATGGCCTGTACCACAGGCCTCCACCAAGTCACAAGTGCGCTCCACCCCAAAACAAAATCTCAGCTCCTGCCTTTCCGCTCCCCCCCTCCCGCCGGCCCTCTGAGGAAGGCTCCAGAGACCCAACCGCACCTGCTCACCTGCTCAAACGAGGTCACCTGGTGAACCGTGAGATTGGAAAGGGTGGCAGAGGGACCCAGTGACCTCATACGGTGCCAGTCGTGAGGGCTACTTGTTTCCCAGAGCTGCAGGTAACTAACCACTCACCAGAAACAAGCCTGAAGGGGGAGTAAGACAGCTCCAGTCTGTCGATGGGAATGGACAGTGGACCCCCAGCACAGCGCTCTGCACGGGACCTCATCACTGTGCTGCAGTCACTAAGGGCCCGAAAGAGATCAGCAGTAAGGCAGGGCTGTGGGACCCACTCACAAGCTATGTCCCTGTCCTTGGCCTCATGTGAAAACTAGCTGCACGCTAGAGGCTGAGGCAGGAGGATCACCATGAGTTCAAGGCCAAGTTGAGTTGCATAGTGAGGTTAATGGCCAGCCTGAACTACATAGTAAGGCCTTGTCTCAAACCAAGAGAGAGCGAGAGAGAGAAAGAGACAGAAAGAAAGATGGAAAGAAGGAAGAAAAATGGAAGGAAGGAAGGAAGGAAGGAAAGAAGGAAGGAAGGAAGGAAGGAAGGAAGGAAGGAAGGAAGGAAGGAAGGAAGGGGCCAGGTACAATTGCACACAATGGCAATCCCAGCACGGGGGAGGCTGAGGTAGAAGGATTGTCACAAATTAGAGGCCATCTTGGGCTACAAAGTGAGTTCAAGTCTAGCCTGCACTACATAGTGAAACCCTGTCTTAAAAAGACAAAAAAGAAAAAAAAAAGAAAAAAGAAAAGAAAGAGAAAATAGCATTACAGATTTCGTTTTACATTAATACTTCTGGTACCCCCCCCAAATTACAGCCTTTACTGACCCATATAGGAGAAAATATAACTCCCAACCTGCTAGATGTCAGACACCCCCAATTCCCAAGTTTGTGTCCCCTGCAATCAAAGAATGAATTCTAAGGAACAACAAAGGTTAAGATCAGGAAAGATTTGTGGAGAGGAAGAGCGCCTGAGAGACAGGAAAGGACCCAAAAGGGGGTCTGAAGTTATTTCCCTAAGAGTGCTTCTTACATCAACATCTTGACATGGGTACAGAATCACAGAGTGAGGCCAGGCATGGTGGCCCCAACTGTCACCCTAGCACTTGGGAGGCTGAGGCAGGAAGGTCGTCATGAGTTCAAGGCTGAACTACAAAGCAAGACCCTATTTCAAAAAACAAAGAAACAAGCAAAATAACGAGATTAAACTATAACCAACCAATAAGATTACCAGTATGGTTGCCTAGCTGACATGCTTCCAATGGGCAAGTGAGTCACGCAGCAAGGGTACATGGAATGAACAAAGGCATTCTGGGGATGGGATGGGTCTGGATGGTCTGGTTACCCACCTGGGTGACTGATGCCTATCTGGTTTCCTGTACCAAGGGTGATACCGATGAGGAGATAATTTCAGTCGCTGCTCAGGGACGCGTGCCGGCTTGGCCCTCCCACCTCCATCTTGAGCCCTGGCCTTCTGCAAATGCACCTCCAGCCACTATTCTGACGTTTTAATTTTTTTGCTGATTTCCTTGACAGCCAGTTCCTCTCTGTATTGACTCCCACTAACTTAGCTGCCTTCACAGACAAGTGCGAAGACATTACAGGTGTCAACCTCAAAACACATGTATGTACTGTGTCGTGGTAGTGGATACAGAACTTCCCAAAATTCTTTCAGGGGACGCCTTCCATAGAAATTAATCTGAGGCCAACGCCTGTAATCCCAGCCCTCAGGACGCTGAGGCAAAAGGATTTGAAATGGATCTTGGACCTAAATTTAAAATGCCAAGCTAGGTGTAGTGGCGCATTCCTGTAATCCCAGTACTTGGGAGGCTGAGGCAGGAGGATCCCTGTAAATTCAAGACCAGCCTGGGCTACAAAGTGAGCTCAAGGCCAGCCTGAACTGCATAGTGAGACCCTGTCTCAAAAAGATAAGATAAATAAGTAAATAAATAAATTTAAAATGCCAAATTTGCCAGGTATGTTAGCACACGCCTATAATCCCAGCACTTGGTAGGCTGAGTGAGGCAAGAGGTGATAGAATTTTGGCGCGGCTGAAAAGATAAGAAGCATGAAATATTAATGACCTTTAAGAATGCAGGGAGATCAAATACAAGTTTACACACACACACACAAAAAGAATGCAGGGAGAGATCCCCTGTCCCTTCGGGGTCTGGCAATCTCTCCGTGGGACACGCGGAGTGGGGGCATACATGTAGCTTAGGTTTGGGGTGGAGCCTAAGGGGCATTCCTGATGCACAGGTAGCCCATTGGTATTCATTTCGCACCACAGGTAAATTCCTAGGGGCGGGGAAGATGGAGCTGCTTGGTTCCGCCTCTAAGATTTTACTGGCTACAGTGTCCGGCCTAGGGCAAGATTCTTTCAAGAAGAGGATTACTGGGAGTTCAAAGCCAGCCTGAACTGCATAGTGAAACTCTGTCTCAAAAAGACAAACTAAAAATTTAAAAATAAAATAAAATGCCAAACTATAAAACTATCTTAGAAGCACCAGACACAGAGGTGCACATATGTTATCCTAGCTACTCTGGAGGCTGAGGCAGGAGGAATGTGAGGTTTTTGTGGTGGTGGTGGTGGTGTTTTGTACCGGGGACCAAACTCATGACCTCAAGCTTGCAAGGCAGGCGCTTATGCTGCTGAGCTAAATCCCCAGCTGTTGTTGTTGCTTTTCAGACAGGGTCTCACTATGCAGTCCAGGCTGGCCTTGAACTCACTCTGTAGCCCAGGCTGGCCTCACTCACAGGGATCCCCTGGCTTCAGGTTCTCGAGTGCTGGGTGACAGGTGTGTACCACCACGCCCCAGCAGGATCACGGATTTCATGAGGCCAGCCTAGGTGGTTTACTGAGGCCCTGACTCAGAATCAAAAACAAAAGGACTCAAACCAGGCATGGTGGCTCATGCCTGTAATCCCAGCACTCGGGAGGCTGAGGCAGGAGGATTCTTGCAAATTCAAGACAAGCCTGGGCTACAAACTGAGCTCAAGTTCAGCCTGAACTGTACACTGAGACCCTGTCTCAAAAAGGCAAAATAAATTCAAGTACATAATACATCTTTTTTGTTCATTTTCTTTGCTAGTTTAAGACAGAGTCTTGCTATGTAGCCCAGGCTGACTTTGAATTCACAACAGTCCTCCTGCCTCAGTCTCCTGATTGCTGGGATTACAGGCACACACTACCATGCCAACCCGTAGATGTTTCAGAGATCAAAATCTCGGATAACGGGGGAAGCTCAGTAGAGACAGGACACCAAAGGAGAAGGAGGAGAGAAGCATGCGGAGCATGGTGGCGCTTGCATGTCCTTGCAGCCTCAAGGGCAAGCAGGGGCAAGGGCTGAGAAGGGAAAGAAGGTCCAACTTGGAGGGTGGAGGGGTGTGGGGAAAAGTCCCAAACGCTAAAGGAGTGTGCGTGGGTGCTGCTGTCTGGCTGGCAAAGTGTCCGCGCCATGAGGGCAGGGCTGGCGCTCTGAACCCCACCCCTGGCAGGAACTGCTGCCTGAACACCGCAAGGGCAAAGGGAGGCCACTGGGCGTGTTCACTGAATGTCTTCAACACTGGTCCGGACCGGGTGGTGAAACCCTGTCTCAAAACAAAGAAACAAAATTTCAACTGCAAATTCCAGTAGTATTGAAACAACCAAAAATTCAAAATAAAGCCAGCCGTGGTGGCAAACTCCTGTAATCCCAGCGCTCCCGGAGGCTGAGGCAGGAGGATCATTGTGAGCTGGAGGTCAGCCAGGGCTAGGAAGTTAGCTCAAGGCCGGTCTGAACTGCATAGCAAAACTGAACCGCCTAACAAAAGCATTAGTTCTACTCTCAGCTTCTCCTAGAAGGGGAACCATGTGATACTGAGGCTTGGGGTTGGATTTATTCAAGTTAGCGTCATGATCTCGAGGTGCATCCATTTTCCTACAAATGACTAAATGTTTCCTTCTTTATACAAGAGTAGTGCTTCCCTGTGTGTGAATTCCACACTTTCTTTCTCCGTTCATCTGTAAATGAACACATGGGCTGCTTCCAAGCGTTAGCTCTTATGAGCTGATGTCTTCACCCTTTAGGGAAGATACC